ACTGGATCCGGCTGACTCCATCATGCGTTGTGGTCGTGTCTAGGCGCAGGTCCTCCATCTGATCTGGATACGGCCCGGATCCGGCTGACTCCATCATGCGTTGTGGTCGTGTCTAGGCGCAGGTCCTCCATCTGATCTGGATACGGCCTGGATCCGGCTGACTACATCATGTGTTGTGGTCGAGTCTAGGCGCAGGTCCACCATCTGATCTGGATACGGCCTGGATCCGGCTGACTACATCATGTGTTGTGGTCGAGTCTAGGCGCAGGTCCACCATCTGATCTGGATACGGCCTGGATCCGGCTGACTACATCATGTGTTGTGGTCGAGTCTAGGCGCAGGTCCACCATCTGATCTGGATACGGCCCGGATCCGGCTGACTACATCATGTGTTGTGGGCGTGTCTAGGCGCAGGTCCACCATCTGATCTGGATACGGCCCGGATCCGGCTGACTACATCATGTGTTGTGGTCGAGTCTAGGCGCAGGTCCACCATCTGATCTGGATACGGCCCGGATCCGGCTGACTACATCATGTGTTGTGGTCGAGTCTAGGCGCAGGTCCACCATCTGATCTGGATACGGCCCGGATCCGGCTGACTACATCATGTGTTGTGGTCGAGTCTAGGCGCAGGTCCACCATCTGATCTGGATACGGCCCGGATCCGGCTGACTACATCATGTGTTGTGGTCGAGTCTAGGCGCAGGTCCACCATCTGATCTGGATACGGCCCGGATCCGGCTGACTACATCATGTGTTTAGGTCGAGTCTAGGCGCAGGTCCTCCATCTGATCTGGATACGGCCTGGATCCGGCTGACTACATCATGTGTTGTGGTCGTGTCTAGGCGCAGGTCCTCCATCTGATCTGGATACGGCCTGGATCCGGCTGACTACATCATGTGTTGTGGTCGTGTCTAGGCGCAGGTCCTCCATCTGATCTGGATACGGCCCGGATCCGGCTGACTACATCATGTGTTTAGGTCGAGTCTAGGAGCAGGTCCTCCATCTGATCTGGATACGGCCCGGATCCGGCTGACTACATCATGAGTTTAGGTCGAGTCTAGGCGCAGGTCCTCCATCTGATCTGGATACGGCCCGGATCCGGCTGACTACATCATGCGTTGTGGTCGTGTCTAGGCGCAGGTCCTCCATCTGATCTGGATACGGCCCGGATCCGGCTGACTACATCATGTGTTGTGGTCGTGTCTAGGCGCAGGTCCACCATCTGATCTGGATACGGCCTGGATCCGGCTGACTACATCATGTGTTGTGGTCGTGTCTAGGTCCATGCTATCTCCAGCTTAAACATCTAACTCAGAAACTAACACCTGTTCTTACCATTCATTCTCAGTACTTAAGAGAGAAGCAATGATTAGAGATTTTGTATTTACATATACAAATTTCATTTATAGAGCTGTACATAATGCACAAATTTGTAAGTCTTCTGTTTTTAAGATGTATACCACAGTATTATTATTATTGTTTATTTTTTATTTATTTGTTTTTTCCTTATAGTCTCATTTAAATGTCTCTTCTCATGTCATGTACAGTATATATGTATGCATGTACCAAGAGCTCCTGTAAAAGCCACAACAAATCCCTCATGTGTTTGTGCACACTTGGTGAATAAAGCTCATTCTGATTAATAATGTTCTCAAAAGTTTAGCACAAAAATATTATTTTGTTTGTAAACGGTGTTTTAAATGTCCTCATAATATTGGGAGAAAACGTTCTTAGAACAACACTCTTGGAACATCAAGGTTGTGTTTGCTCTTTTAAAAGCACATCCTCGAGCATGGGGACGTTTTGTAGCCTGTCCCATGGTTATAGTTCCTCAACTTTTATGTAGAGGTTATGCAAGTGTTACAATTAAACACTTTCAAAACATTATTCATGAAATCCCTATATTGTCATTAGTATTTGATAAATGTTCTCATAATGTTGGCAGAAAACATTCGTCAAACGTCCTTTGAATATTACGGGTCACTAACTTTCTGGCTTATAAATGTGTTAAGGTTGGATGTCACACAGAAAATCCCGTGTTTCATGTCCAGCTCAGTGTCCGTGTAGTGTCCTCCTCATAGCTGGATACGGCCACGGTTATCACACAGTTCTCTGACTGGCTATCATATCTAGATAAAATAGCAAGCTAGTACAATGTACAATATTGTTCTGAATAACGTACATGTAGCCTAGGCTATTTACATGGGCTAATTATGAAGCATATTGTATTAATTAAAGTTATTTTATTTCGCCAAAACTACACACATTGTATACTGTGAACAATTATTAAGCTTAGTTAGTAGTTAAACTTCTCAGTTTGGCGTAACAGCTGTGTTTATCACCTCAACAGCTCCTGTAATAATGGGGTCATTCCACGAAATCGGTGCCTTTTCAACTTTAAAAATTTGAAAAATATAATTGTTTTAAACTGATTTTTTTCAGTACCCAATAAATTAAGACATCTTAACATGACAGGAAATTGTGTTGGGCCTTCTCAAGCTATACCAGTTATTATTTTATGACTGTTTATTTATTTCATGTGTTGATATTTTCCTGTTACCGACTAAAGTGTTACTATAAATAATAATTCCAATTACAAATATGCAACAGTTTGCACATATATTAGTAGTATTTTGTTCCCTCTTTTCATTCAGACGATGTCATATTTAAAACAATTCTGTTTTATATCATAATATCCATTCAGATTACTGAAAATGTCCTATTTCAGGGACGACATCACATTACAATTAAGAAATATGTATACTTTGACAAGAT